AAGACCCACTTCATCAGATGCATGTCATGTCTTTGCCCATGAAAGCTTATGCTCCAATATATCTGATAGTCTATGAGGTGCCACAGGACTTCTCCTTGTTTATGGAGATTCAGACTAACACAGCTACCCCTCTGATACTATACATTCATTGATGTACAGTCCTTTTATCTCCCTACTCTGCAACTGACATCTGAAAGTCTAAGGGAATTTGAAACACACAAAAAATTAATTTAGGGCTTCTGAGTTTAATACAAATAATGATGAATTCTAGCATGTTCATTTGTCAGGATACCAGCAAATCTAGCAAAATACCATATTCTAATCTAAAACCTTGATTCAGCCAGGTACATAAAAGCAATCACCTCCTGGGAATCTAGAACAGATTATGCTCATCATAGTTAAACAGTGACAGTTTATCCACAGTAGATCCACAAGAGACTAACAAAAGGCCTGATTGTGGTAGTGCCTCCATTACCACACATGGGCATAAAGGGGAGCGTATCACGCCTCACGCTCTGTGTTCTCGCCAAAGTTTGGTTCCAAGATTCCTTTCCTGTGCTCCTCATGCGGGGACACCAACAGCCTCTGTGGACCCCTGGGCAAGATGGGTAGCTCTGTGCTCCCAGAAGGGGAAAGGCCTTGGGCAGAAGGGGTGGGGTTAGGTACAGGCGCCTGTAGCACGGGGCTGGTCCTTCCTCCAGCCCTTAGCACTGCCTGGAATGCACAGCGTGGTGCTCCAGTGGGTGATTTAAAGGTTCTGGGACAACACCCACAACCAGTGTTGCAGTAGCAGTGGCAGTAGCTGGGAGTCCCAGACCCCTTTAAATCTCCAGACACCTGTGCTGCACCTGTCGGCGGGCCTGTCCTCATGGGCCTGTACAGCTACACCTCACCTAGCACTATTGCACAAGGAATATTGATTGACATGTTAAATCTCGCCCAAAAGTGTTCCTTTAGCACTTGGCGCACCCACCTTACAACACCCCGATCAGGCAACAGCAGAGACCCAAAAAACCCATCCAAATACAATACAGTAGTGTGTTAAATGTAAGCCGCTAAGAAAGCAGCATTTTACTTTCCAGAATAAAGTTTCAAAGCTGTATTATGTCAATATTCTGTTGTAAGCTTTTGAAAGAACAACCATGTTTTTCAGAGTGATGAACAACCTCCGTTGCCTGCAGAGCTCGGAGGTTCTATTGTATATTCCTGTAGAAGTAAATATATAAACGTAAAGTTAATAAAATCTCTGACAAAATGGGGAGGGAGGAAGGCCCATTACTCTGCTGTCCCCTACAGAGGGTGGGAATTGCAGGGACCCTATTAGTAGCAGTTGCGGGGGGGCGACCCCATATACCTTGTAATGCTGGGAGTTCCAGGGGAACAGTTGTTCCTGGCCACTGAGAAACTCTGGTCCCTCCCTCACCTGCATCTGTTGAGCAGGTCCAGGATACCTGTGGTTAGGAGCTGCAGGGGGCCCCAGCTGCTTGAGGTGGTTACAAGTGGTGGCTGGGCAGCTCAGATGTCACAGCCAATTTTCCCTCTACTTTTTCCACCCCAAGGCAGAATTCATTTTCTTATGTGTACCAATGAGGAAGTAATTTGTGACATATCACCTTCATATTGGGGCACATTAAATTCATATGGCGGGGAGTGGGGCCAAAGGGTTTTTGAGTGCAGGAGGGGGCTCATGGCTGGGGCACAAGGGTTCTGGCTGGGGATGTAGGCTCTGAAGTTGGGGGAACTTAGGTTGCCACTCATGGCAACAGCCGGTCAATTGCAGAGGGTCCCACCACCACCACCAGAGGCTAGGCTGCTGCAGAGTCCCCTGCCACCAGCAGCAGTTGGTCAGCAGTGTCTTCCTCTTCCCCCGACCCCCATGTCACAGAGGTCACAGGAAGACAGGGATTGCATGATTTCTGTGAGCTCCACAACATAATCATCTTAGCCTTACTCACTCTATTCTCAGTAGGAGTACTTTGCAAAATTGGCTTCTTCATTTGAAATGCTTAAATGGGAGTGAAGCTCTTCCAAAAAATCTGACCATTAATCTCATACACACATACCCATCTCCATACTAGAGCCACTTTCATGCAAGAAATAAACTGTATCACTTTCCTACTCTAAAAAATAAAGGTTCCAACATTGGGAAATTTAAAAAAAAAATCCACATTAAAAATTAGTATTTCAACAAATAATTTTTGAAGGATGTTTGTGTGGATGATTGTGTGATTGCCAGTCTGGATTTCAGCATGCCATTTTCTCATTTCAAAATAACTGAGTTCACGTAATGTTTCATGTTTTCCTTCCATTACATAGTGCACAAAGTGCATTTCCGAAATGAAATCTTATGAGATTTTGTACACATCATTAGCAAGACTTGAGACTAGAGTTTCCAAACAACTAGAGGTTTCAGAAGTTCTGCTTACTTTTGGCAGTGTCCAAGTGTTGAAATTTGACTATATCCTAATGTCCTTACTTTTTAAAAAAAATATAAAGTCCTTATTCAAGCTTACTGGCTTAATTAGGAGTAAGAACGGAGTAAAAACTGAGGAAGAACCTAGGATTTGATTAGATACAGTTTTCTGAGACATTTTGGTCTGCAACTCATGCTGAAACTATGTCAAAAGCTGGATTTCTCTTATGAGATTTCCTAATTTTGATTATTACATTTGGCAACAAATCTCTGAGATGTAGTCTCATTCTGATGCATAACTTGCATTAGTGCTAACTGAAGTCATGTGCGTATGCCCATAGCCATTGGGACGAGAATATTATGCTGACTTCTACGTAGAATTTAGGATTTTTTACAACATTACCTACAAACAGATCGTTGATAATAAACATCCATTAGTCAGCAAACTGTCCTCTGTATACTTTAATTTCCATGCCCAATAGACCCAATTGAATGGTTATTATGCTTTGGGATGCCTAGATAAGCCTTTCCTTCAAACTTGCCAGCAGCTCTGAATCTTTTAAAAGAAGAACCACAGCATTCCCTTTAGCAATTACAAAGAAATTAAGATTTATACTTCTATATAGAGAGACCCCTCCTTTCAGCTGGAGGGCTGAATTTCATCAGAAACACCCTAAGATGCTACAAGAAAAGTTTTGTCAAGAAGGCTCTCAGTGATATTTCTGCTGCTGAATAAGTGCTTTTCAGTGGCTTACTATAATGAGAATGCTAACTGGATCTCTGCATTTAAACAGGGGAGAGAGGAAAAAAAGGAACCTTAGACACAAACACAATCTAGGCTTTATGACCCTGTTTTTTGGTTCAGATCAATTAACAAATAAATATCTTGGGAATAAGTTTATACCCTGCACCCCCCTACCTGACAAAACAGTTCTCTCCCCACTCCATTCCCAAAAAGTAGGGTAATTAATACTGGCTTTGAAAGGGTAACAATAAAATACCTGGGGGGGCGGGGTTCACAATGGTATAAAATAGTAGAACTATCCCACAGTTTGCCTTGGGCTTTGGGTGGGATCCATAAGGCACCTTTCACATAAATCCAGTTGCAAGGTCTGTATGGGTATGTCTACACTACCACCCTAGTTCGAACTAGGGTGGTAATGTAGGCAATCAGAGTTGCAAATGAAGCCCGGGATTTGAATTTCCCGGGCTTCATTTGCATATAGCTGGGCACCGCCATTTTTAAATGTCCACTAGTGCGGACTCGGTAGTTCGGACTAGGCTTCCTATTCCGAACTACCGGTACACCTCATTCCACGTTTCACGAGGAGTAACTGTAGTTCGGAATAGGAAGCCTAGTCCGAACTACCTAGTCCGTGCCGCATGTAGCCGCGCGGCACGGAGTCCTCACTAGCGGACATTTAAAAATGGCGGCGCCCGGCGAGATGCAAATGAAGCCCGGGAAATTCAAATCCCGGGCTTCATTTGCAACTCCAGTTGCCTACATTACCACCCTAGTTCGAACATGCCCTACATAACTTTGTTAAACACTACATGAATCAACTGAGAGCCAGAAAAAAATAATTAGTGCCTATGACCTAAGTCTCTCAAAATAAGCTTGTTATCCATTCTGCCAGTGTCTTCTGATGCCAGATTTTTATGATGTTCTTCTGCCAATCTGTCATAATGAATTCCCATTTTTTAGGAAAATGAAACGTGTGTCATGCTATTGCATTTTTTTATTCCAATGGGCACAAATACATTTCCCACATATCTCAGGCAGCTGCTCTGGCTCGGCCTTTGCCAAGTCAAAAGCTAAGTACTCATCTCCTCTTCTGTTTTCATTTTCTAATATTACTTTCACCACCTCAGAGGTGGTAAAAATAATATTATCTAAGCTAGATGATTAAGACAGAGAGGGACACAGGCCTCATGCAAGTAAAGGAAAGTCCATTTTCAAATAAACAGGAATCCGATTTCAGGCAAATTTGGAGAGCACACTAGATATACGGTTGTTTTAAAGTGGACAAGTCAAAAATTTTGGAAATATAATGTTGTATAGACTTAACTTTGAGCCCATACAACATTGAGATGAATCCATATCAATGATGCATTAGCGAGCAAAAGATTATGATGTCACCACAAACATCATGAAGATACCATTTCCAAATGGTGAAGCAGAAAAACAGATTTATAGGATTAGCTGGGCCAAGATAGGGTTTCATTTTATTTTACGTGAAAGGGTAATCAATAAGGAATGCTAACAAGTTTGTGATCATTCCATTTGTTTTCTGTATTCTCTTCTGTTAGCATGGCCTATACACTTTTTACATAAAACAGGACTAAAAGGTTAAAAATAACAATAAAAGATGGAGATTGGAATGAAATAATTCAGTATCTGTTTTTCAACTTTGATTCTTTATTTTTTGATCATTTAATGAATTGGATTATTTCTACTCAGAATTACGCATGCCTCTTAGATTCAACTTTATGCTTTTATCCATGCAGTCCTGGAATATACATTATATGTTTAAAGGGAGATGGGGTGGAGGAGAAAAATAAGCTGCAGCAAATGGCACAAGGATACAGTCCCTTCCCGGAAAGAGGATTTTGTGGCGAACCATTTCTCCCATAATGCATCCCACAGACCATATATCCACTAGAACAGCAGAGACAGGGAAGTGTAGGGGGGAAAAAGCAAAGTTAACTAAGTCACTTCACTCCTAAAGGAGGGGGAAAAGAGCAGGTTGATCAGAATAAGTACAATTATTCTCCTCATACCAAATGCTAAAATAAGTAAATAAATAAAAGCACCATCAGGCTCAGCACAATTGGAAAAATATTTGATATATCAGCATTGTCAGAGCTTTTGTTACATTAGCTAAAATCAAAATATGCACCTTTTTCAGAGGAAAACCAACAGAGGTTTGTCAATAGAGTCTCTTTCTGATTCAAGAAACATGAAAAAATCATCTGGACACAAAGGACTTATAAGTAGGCTTCATGTGTTGGAAACTGATCAGCTGAAAGTGTGTCTGATCTACATTAATGATAGAAATGTAGCACACCCAGAGGATATTAGTAGAAGGTTTACTGCTATGCTTTCTATGACAAGTGAAAAACAAAGGTATGAACTCAAAAGGGAGTTCTCTCATTTTCCCCTTATCCTGTCCCTGAGATTGTGTGGAACCCACATGCTAAAAAGGCACAAAGCTAGCCAGAACATAAAATAGAGATATACAGCTGTGCTGGCTGTATGGACAAAATGCACTTAGTCGGAGGGAAAATACAATACAAATAAATCTTTACTTTAAAAAAAAAAGATAGTGACCACCTGGAATCACCTCCTTCTTGGGGCCAGCTCCCT